GGACAGGTTTTTGTGGAATGTGTGACCCTCCGCAAATGACAGATCAAAGGAAAAATCGAAACAACACAACGAATTATGCCCACTATCACTGTCACTCAAACAGTTTCGTGGCGATGCCCATGACGTCATTAAAAATGAAAACGCCGATTGGCGTGTGTATGCGCAATCCCTTAAGAAGGGTTTCTAAACGCAGTGATTTATCGTCTTGCAACGCGGTTTGCCCGCTATCATGGGAACGATCCAGCAGGAAATTATCACGCGTGATATTTGTATCGCGCGGAATTCCGCCACTGAGTGCCAGTTCGTATGGAGAAATACTGCACTCTTGAATAGACACCAATGTTAAGACTGTCGCAATTAGCATTGATCACCATGCCCTAAAGGTACGAACTTTTATTTGACTGCACCCACAGGGATAGTAATGCTATTGATCCAAAGAATTTTTGCTGCGAAAGTATATATGAATCAAAGTGAGTTATTTGGAGTCTCGATATTAAGCTTCCCCGAACTGACTGACTGATAAACACTTCAAACACATGCAACAGAAATATTCCAGCGAAAACCAGGCTCAATTGGCTTATTAACTAAGAGTTGATTTTTATATTCTTAAAATTAAGGAAACACTTCTGTAAGATCAGTGACCAGTTGACACCTTCCGTATACATGCAAGACAATTTCTGCCAATATTTTCACCAAGACGTTTGCTATTTGTCTTTATTGCGCTCTACATCTTTCCTAAAGAAACGTTTCGATAGAGAAAGCCACGACGGAGTTCCCTTTTCTAAGCAGATCCAGAGTTTAAAAAATAGGGAAAGTTGTTAGTTGATACCTTTCCTATTATGACAATTCATACAATTTTCAGATATTAATCATAGGCCTATCCCATACTTTAAGAGGCTTACCGATTTGGAAATGAACATGACCGTAGCTGGTGATATCCATTCACGTGCGTGGATACCACCCTCAAACCAAACGATGGGTTTATTTGGATCGCCAACACCCGTCGAAATCTAAAAAAGTAGTTAGGGACGACGGAACTTTACAGCGCTATTTGACTGAATGGGTAATGTTTTATGTCAAGAAAATGTTTCCTTGCTCAATATATCTTCTTATATCCTCACGCATTTGCATTCACAATACTGATTTTTAAGTTGCTGTTGTAATCACGGTTTTGTGAAATCTCACTGAATGAAATTGAACAAAGTGGATGGTTCTGCCACTCTAAGCGGGAGAAGCGCTTCTGCAGCATTGAGAGTTTCACTGTCGGTAACATAACAGTGTCAGTAACACTTAATTAAAAGAAATAACATTATGTGACAGTAAACAAGAAACTGGTCTCGTAACTACCTTGATACCGTTGATATCGCGACCTTCGTAAGACTGCGTCAAGGTGAACTTTGACACGATGCTGTGCTCGGTAGCCATGTCACTAACCCACTGCTGAATCTAAAATAGATTTAATTCAAAGAAGCGGTTTTGAGTGTACAAATGACGCTTTATTCAATCACAGGGGGTGGAGAGAAGAAGGCAATTCAATATTTTCCCTCAGATTTTGGTAGATTTTTTTCTTCGAAAAATATCTAAAATCATCATAACTTTCATAATAAAGCCCATTTTGGGTACAAAATAAAGATTTCAATAATTTCGTTTGTCACGAGCGCACGAGATCGACAGAGACTGGATTGAGTCTTTCCTTACAAGTCGTAGGCAGCGAGTCGTATACAAAGGCGTTACATCTGACTGGTTGCCAGTTTTGTCAGGAGTTCCACAAGGCTCGGTGCTTGGGCCTTTGTTGTATGTTCTTCACGCCAACGATTTACAACTTCACATCTCGTCTAATATTGTTCAATATGCGGATGGCACATTTGTATTTAGAAATGTTCATAGTGACCATCGCGATCAACTTCTTCAAAATGATCTGAATATTATATCGGAGTGGGCTGATGTCAACTGCCTGCGTGTGAATGCTGAAAAATGTGAAGTGATGCGTTTGACTTGGCGCCAGCTCCCCAAACCAACTTACTTCCTTGGAGTTTCTGAACTGGAGTGTGTGAGTTCCCTGAAGCTTCTTGGTTGCCTGATCAAAAGCAATATTATCTCCAAGTATAACATATTAATGGCCTGATTCGTCTGGTATTGGGCAACTGTCACTACAGTTTGTCTCTACATCTTTACAAGACCATCGTCTTGCCGATATTAGACTATTGTTCACCTGTGTGGTGGATTCGTGGTAAAAAGCACATCGACTCAATTAAATCTGTCCAGCGCAGAGCAAGTCGAATGATATTGCGACAGAACTATCTGAAGCATAGTTACAACGACAGATTGCACAACTTCGGTCTCCTGACTCTTTTTAACAGAAACATTTTCTTAAACACCAGTTTTCTTGCCAAACTTCTAATGTTTCAGAGGGTAAATTTTATGGTTGACTTTCTCAACTTGTTACTGGTTAATGTAAGGCACAATGACAAACTCACTTTCCATTACTTAAAGCCAAGGACTGATGCTTACAAATATAGTACAATTGTTCGTTTTTCCAAGATTTTTTTTCTGAACTTAATATGGATACCAGGAACAGTTTGATTTTAGAGGGCGTGGGGAGGTTTCGTTCACATTCAAGGGAGGATCTACTCAATGTCAGTTGAATTTTCACCTCATTCTCACCTCATGATTCTATCCTAAATGTTTCTTGGTTTGTTTTTTAAATTAACACAGAATATTTTTGTACTGTGATTTTTATCCCCGTTTTTTTATCAACTTCATGTATAATTTCAGCATTATATTTTTGGAATTTTATCTAGACTTGTTAAAGGCCCTTTTCAATTTTTATTCTGGCTGTTGTTCTTTCCGCATGTTTACCTTTTTTGTGGTCTGCCCTATCTCATCAGGTAATTCTTTTTCCGAAAATCTGCTTGGTTAATTTTTCTTTTATACAGTTTCTTTATGTATTGTGTTTCATACTTGTATATTTTTCGTTTTAATTCAGTATCCTTGTTCTGGAACTCTGGTGTTTAATTTTCTCTATTCCCGGGATTTCCCTCCTTTTTTCGTGTTTTGGAACCTGGGTTTGGTCTAACACATCTTCTGATGACAGTTTTTATACTTTTGTTTGACCTTGACAGCCCCGGTTTCCATTTTTAATTCGCTCTGTAATTTATGTTTAAAGGTGTAAAATAAATAAATCAATAAATAAAATATTAGCAGGACTCCCTTCTATGTATGCAAATGGATTTTTGTCCATACTGTACGAATGAAGCGTATCTATCTGGTTATTAGTTTGTTTGAAAAACGGCTTTTGATCTCTCTTTTTTTCGTTCTTGTCTTCACCAGTGAGTTAATGTGTAAGTGAAAGTGAAACTTTTTGTAGAAGTGCGGAGAGGTTACAACAAACCTGGTCATGCGTGTGGTATATGTCATATTGGAAGTCCGCCAAGGCGGCAGTTGATGCGCCCGGGGGTGTATCGGGGGCCACGGCCTGGCGATCAAGCTGAGCCTGGACATCGCCGATCATGACGGTATAGTCCAGGCCTCTGTCTGCTAACAACCCGGTGACTTGCACCTGGTTGGCCGGTGTCACCATGACGTCCACGGGATGGTTGGACCTGCGCAGGGAGTTCCATATCTCGACCTGGCGGGTGTAAAGATCACCAACGGAACAGAAGTTACTTTCAAAAAGGACACCTATGCCGGTTTCGGGTCTAACTGGGTTGCAGATAAGATAAAAAAAAAGTGACGCTCCTTAAAGAGGGGAATGCGTTGTCGATTGTGAGGTGTGACATTTTTCCAAATGAAACGAAAATAACAATAGCGCCAGCTGCAGCAAAAGTAACAACTGGAAGCCATCGGAGCGTTGACGGAGTGGGACAGTACTCCCTTTGTTCACCCCGAAGCATTGTTTTGTAATGCTTGTTTTTAAGGGTTGCCATTGTGTGGCTTTGTTCGACGATTAAATCAGTCCAGTTATTCCACTCAGTTTCAAAATGAAGTGACGAAGAGAGGAAAAAGAGGGAATCAAAAACAAATGTTTATTTCCTGAAAATCCCTTTTGCATCCTTTGTTTTTACCCTTACCAAGGACTGAAGCTCAAGCTTTCTTATCCATGCCACATCGGATTCGTCTTTCGGTGTGACTCGCAGAACCTTGAACCTAACGGAAGAAGACACGATAGTCCACTCTCTGTTACAAGTCTAGTTCCAATATTAAAATATTCTGACTATTCCAAAACGGCCTCTTGGGCTACGGCTACGTCTGTCGTCAGAATGTGTTCGGAATGTGCACAGATGGGTTATTTTCTATTTTAAGGCTAAGGCCACCGTACTTTCAATCAGGTATTTTACTGGCAGAACAGTGGCACCGTAAGTTTTAAACAAGGCGTTCGTGGGTGTTGATCGTTTCTAAAAGGGAAAAAGAGGCAAAAGCTCGTAATATAATAGGCGTGTGGGTTTCCTGGCAGAGATTGGTTTAGCTCAAAGCTGGGGATCGCTCATAAATTTGAAACATGAATTTTAATTCGGAAACTTTGACTTTTCGCAGACTGTTTACTTTTTGTCAAATTCCTATCAAAAAGCATGCGTATTCTTCTTTTGAATGGAGCTGCCTGGGTGTTTAATATCTACAAGCCTGTTTACCAAATTAACCAAGCAGGGTGCAGGGGAATGATCATTGTGTTGGCCATGTTGTTTAATTTAAAGGCTGGTTCAGACTTAGTGCAAAAGCGACGCCGAAGACATTCTTGTTGCGCAGGTTCAAATATTCGCGCTGTGAGTTCTCCAAAGTTGAACTCTTTTCAACTCAAGCAAGTTTCGCTATGCAGGGCAGATTCCATGCCGTCAGATTCACTTTGCTGTTCGCCTGCATCCCCAAAACTCATCTAAGTCATAATATTCCTGTTTCTTAGACAAAGATTTTCATACTTTTTGTTTCCGCTTTTTTATATAAATTAAAACCAAATAAATACGACCATACCCATCGTATCTTTTCACCCCGGTCACAACAACGACGACCGCTAGAATAAAGAGAACCCTCATCGTGACTCCCAGTTGAATTGCTACGCGGTGTGGTGGCACGACTGGGCTTTTCTGTCAACATGCGCGTACTGTGAGTCGCGGCCCACGGCGGGCTCATTATATAGGTGGAAGATCCAGTGACAACCGTGATTTTGTCTACCGCTTGTAGATTTTTGCTGGAAACTGCGCACGAAACATTTATTCGAGTAACAGGTAAAATTGGCCAGGGGTTGACAAATGGGCGTCGCCCGACCTCATCCGTTGACCTTTGCTGCCCAATTGAGTCTTAGTGAGGATATGTGCTCTCCACAACTGACCAATCACAGAAAGCCATTACAGAAGTCGTAGTTAGGATAGTCTTGGCCCAAGACGTCAGTGATCGAATGTTGTTTTATTTCTGTTAAAGAGCTCCCTCGCACAACTAGTTTTTACTTACTCCCACGAGCTGGCGCACGTCTAATTTAGAGTCGTTGGGGCGCACTATGCACAGTGTCCGCTATCAAGCACTAACGTCTTGAAACCAAGACTATAGTTAGGGCTGATGCTAATTGATCTTAGCGGAATAAGGTTCTGTTCTACAGAAATTGACTGATGTATCACCTCTGGACTGCGCTTCACAGAAATTGATTAATTTGTATTATGCTTTGTTTTTTTTTCCAAACAACTTTGCAAAACGAAGCTTATCGAAAGAGATTACCATTATGACTGTGTATTTATAGTGTTGCGTAAATTATCTGTTATTTGGTAATGGAAAAACCTGAAATGATGCAGACGGGGAAAACAGTCTACGAAAACAAAGTGAGTTTGATATATATTATCCTTACCGTCACACTGGATACGCGGGGCGTATACCCACCCAAAAGAAAACTTTTTGATCCGTTTTTAAACGAAAGAAAAGCCGGAACCTTTCTTTCATTTCCCTTTCAAAAGAGTAAAAGCTCCAAAACTATCATCTCAACCGTCAGTCCTTAAAAGTCCCTGAAAAGTTAGCCAAAGAAAGTCCCATTTTGGCTTCTGTGGAAAAGAGGCCCCCCTAGAAATATGGTTCTGGATCTGCCCTCGAAAGTATACTTAATCCACCATCCAGCAAACAGGTACCTATGAAACACCAGGGTATTCACGTAATCGGCATACGTCTGAGGAAATTTCGTGGTCCTGCTCCCTGACTACAATGGCAAGAATTTTCTTCAGTTTAATCGGTCGAGAGTGAAAATGACAGCTGTCACTGACAGAGCACGAATGTAGTCTTTCCGGAATAATATCATGTATCATCCAGAGTTGGACAAGTTGAACACGAGACACACATAACAGCCTGAACCATTTGATCATATTTACGGGAAATTGTGATGTAAGAACTTCATCATTTCTCCCTTTCTACCACTAGCAAGGGGTTGTCATCTTTTTCACCACAAAGCCAAAGACGATAAACTGATATCAGGTCAGTAAAAACTCGCGGGAATGCGACAGCTGCATGGCACACAAACCGAAGATAACACTGAAACTAATCTCTGATAAAAAGCTTTACAAAAAAAAATTAGCTTCAATATTTAATGGGACTAGAGGCTTAAAAATGTGGTAGGTTTCGTTTATGAATGTTTAATCGTTCTGACCTGGTAATTATTTCATCACCTTTAGCTCATCTCTGACCCAGCAACCCGCCTTCACAAACGAGGTACGAAGACCGTGAGATGGGTGCGTCAACCTTGTTTAATTGATCGTGTCACCGGAGGGCGCACTTCTATTCGTAACATCCACATGGCAGGAATGAGGCGAGTTCTAGTTGGACGCGGTGTGTAAGTTTGGAACGGAGAAAAAAAGTCTGATTTTTTAGAATTTCAAATAGGTATCTGGCCACTGTATCTGGAAAACGGCGAGGAGTTAGGCCTACCTGGGAAGTTAGTAATCTTTTTGAAAGTTTAAAACATGTAAAAAACAAGGTTTACGTCAACCTAACCATCATCATTAGCCATTTTAGTAGGCTACCATTACCCCGGGCCCAGCATGGCAATACTAACGTTTCTCAGCATGCTCAGTTGCGTCAAGCAGTTTGTCACCGGTCATGACCAACTGCCAACGACAGTCTGACCACCTCCATGGTCATGGTCTGACAGTCATGACTGACCTGCATGACCTGACACTAGCCTAGCCCCACTAGTGTGGCACGGACTCTCACTCCCGATCCATCCTTATGGATCGGAAGTGAGAGTCCGTGCCACACTAGTGGGGCTAACACTAGCCCCACATGTTGGTAGACGGTAAAGGAGGACATGATAAAAGTGATATTATTAGTTACGTCATGTGACTATTAATCATGCGCAGGATGCATAAATTACGTACTGTACTCTTTCTGAGCAGGAGGCCTATGCATGTGATGCATGTCGTTGTATGTGTTCTCCTTTCCTCCGTTTCCATCTGCCCCACATGTACGTAGGGCTGTAAATGACTCACTTTGGAATTTTGTCTTTATACTTTTGCCATCCTAGCCCTAGTGCCCTACTTCAGTGCAGGACGTTAACGCAGATTTGTCCCAAATTTGACTCCAAATATCTTCAGGAAGATGAACGACAGCACACTTTTACTCACACCGATATATTCTCTAGAGTTTGGCATGTTTGGATTTTCATACTATCACCTGTAAGCTCACTGAAACCCTACATTTTCTTGTGTTATTGCGTCTTGAAAACCCGACCTGTGATGTACACATAGGTATGCTGGCCGTGGACGTTGCTGTTTTAAAAGTAATGCCCTGATGTCTCCCAACGATGGTGGCTCATTGTACTTGGGCAGTCAAGGCACTCGGTGCTGTGTAATGCATAATTCAGAAGCGAAGGGCTTGTCCGGTGCATTGACTTCCCTTGACCATGTTATTTACATGTACCTTGCACCCAGCCCCCCCCCCAAATGCCCCAAATGATAAAGCATCGACAAAAAGCTTGTAAATCTCCTGATGTTGGCTATGACTTCACAACATGCCAAAGACAAACTACGAAACGGGCAGTTCAGTTGCACTCAGTGATGTAGTCAAGACCTTAAAGCTCGAGACCAAGACCTGTAGACTGAAACTACAGGGTGCAAAGTTGAGACCAAGACCATGGGTGAGACCAAGACTGAAACAGAGGTCTTAGTTAAACTAAGTAGTATATAAAAATGAGAAATACATATACCTGTACATTTAACCCCCCCTCCCAGCATAATGTAAACGGTTTTTATAAATTTATACTGAATGAATTTAAATGCTGTCACTGTATTGCCCACTTTGAATTTTAAATTAAACCGTTTATCAGACTGTTTGAAAGGATATTAGTAGACACCCAAAAATGTTTTCTTTAGATCGCAGATATTATTGTATCAAAGCACAAAGCCAAAGTTTGCAGAAGTATCACCTTTTGGTTGGCTTTCGATTTTACCTCCAATTCATTCAAAATTGACATTTGTTCCATTGCCAGCCCTCTCTGTGAGTTTGGTCATTTGCAAAATCGGCATATCTGCACAGGTTTCGATGCACGCAGCGCATGCGGTGACGTGTATTGTACCCAAGTACCATAGAGGGGTTTTCGTTAAATGCAATGACATGTGGGTATCAGAATATTTGATTTTATTGAATCAATAATATCAGAATTGATAATATCTTTACTGAGACTATCAGAAGTTTAAATCATGAAAATTTATTTGGTTCTTCTTTTCCAATAGAATAGTAAGGTCTCATACACTCGAGATGCCAAAAGATCTGGAGACTTGTTTCGAGACTGAGCTCTCTGAGTCAAGACCTTGAAATTGTCGAGACCTTCAAAAATTGGTCTCGAGACCAGTCTCAAGATCTACATGAACATGACTGGTTGCATTTGCAATCCTTTCTTGATCCATAACTTGATTCATGTTGCCTGCTGTGCTAAACAAAATCTTTTTGGCTGTACACAAACACGGCAGTCACAATCACAAGACCCTTAGTAAAGTACGACCAAGTCCGATCAGTGACCATTTGTCAATCAGTAGTTTGCCTCTGCAAAAGATATTCTGGGTTTGACTTTTTGAATGAATATTTTTTGTCTTTGGTCTTTTTAGTGTACAGAAGAGGCTAGATGGATTCAAAATCCGGCAAGGATGGATTCCAGGCTGTGGACGAGGATGATGATAGAATCCCACAGGACTGTTTAGAAAAACTTGGTAAGCCTGTTAATTTGGGGGGGGGTGTCAGGGGAAGGCAGGACACTAAACCTAGGAATGGTGGCATAACTTCAGGATGTGAAAAAGTGCCTTTAAACACCACAGGGCCAATTAAAAAAAAATCAGTGTTTTCTTGGGGTTTTTTTCTTTAATGGAGGAGTGCCCCTTGTTCTTTTAAAGCCACAGCAGATTTATCCAAGATGACGGACAGATGTTCAGATTATCGTCTGTTTGAAGATATTTTTGTTTCTAATGTAAAGAGCTTCAACTAAGAGGTTTAATCCTGCATTTATAATTAGATGTATGTCAGTAAGAAATCAAAATACACGGCAAATTTATCAACCAATGAAAATAGAAAAGAAAGTGTCAGCCTTGAAAGAGGGAATGGACAGGAAACTACATTCACACACAAATACAATGGACAAACCCATAGTTATGCCATATGCAATATGCATGTTGGGCATAGCAGGTGTTCCGTGACAGTCGTAAGGAACTATACCCAGTGCAGTATTTTCCACCATTGGATGGGGGCCATGCTGAATGTTCTGTGGCTATAGCACTGGATTCTTCTACATGTACACGTATATTAATCCTTCCAAAGTATGACCAAGAGAGGGCGCAATTTTCCAAGTGGTAGCTGCTGTTTCGATGGGGGCGGCACTTCACTGGTTCATGAACGGTTATAAAAATGGGCTATTTTATGGCACTAGATTAAACACCCGTCACCAACATGGCTCTTTTGAGAGATGCTTGTGCTCAAGGCAGATTGTGAAATAAGAACTGTGCTCTCCCATCCCTGACTACATGCCATCCCCCCCAAGTTCATCTTTTAACTTGGGGGGGATGATACAGGCACATTGGTCCACTTTGAAAGGGCAACCTGCCACCCCCTGAAAACAGGGACTCGTGACCCCCCCTCACTTTTTATAGGGTTGTGTGTTGCACCATACAGCTGAATCAAGCAATCTGAAAGCGCTGCTCCGCAACAGACACCTCCGGCAGTTGCTGTTGGAGGTGGACCGGGCGGACAACAAGGCTGCTGTGGTGGACAAGTACATGCGGGAACCACTGTTTGTTGAGTTTGCCGATGCATGCCTGACCATGGTGACTCCAGAGGAGAAGGGCACATAATAGATGCTTGGCACGGGCTTAAGTAAGTAATAGTATGATCCTTGCGGGTGCGTCTTGGAGCCATTGAGCAACACTTCCTTTGCATTTTACATTTAGTTCTCATGAAGTATGAACTGGCCTCTTAAAAAGACACTGAACGTGGGCCAAACTGTGAGACCAAAAACGAATTGCTTCAAATCGAGATCACAGAATATTAGCCGGAACTTTTGGACCTTAAAGGGCAACAGCGCTAGCTACATTAGCATAATGCACACTTGGGGAGGAGCAGTTTGGCATTCTCCATAAATAATCAGCAAATCTAATCCAATATGTCAAATCAGTTTTATAATGTACCGGGTGTCATTCATTTGATGTTGTCAAGATAAAAACATTTGTTGTGTCTTATTTGAACAAAAAAAGAGAAGAAGTTTTCTTGATTTTCCTTTTTCAATTTTAATCAACACAATGATTGTCATCGTTCTGCTTGCCAGAGATTACCAAGATAAAAAACGTTGCTTGACTCACAGCTTGCGACGTGTTTGGCTACCTTTTCCGATGCAAGCAGCTGAGGTGCATCTCATACAACTAGCACATTCCAAGATACATAATGAAAGACAATCTCTGGAGGTAGGCCGTTGGGAAGGTTTCAAATTTGTGTTTTTCTATTCCAAATTTGGGTTGTTAAGCCCTCCCACTTATAAAAACGTCTGTATGGTTTGAGAATTGTTGAGCCTTAAAGCTTTGGCTGCAGTGGCACAGCTATGGGGGGAAGGCATGCCCCCGCCCCCACCCCCCCAGCGGAGATCCTTGCAGCCCTCTCTAGCCTGTGACCACGGCTCCCTAAAATCTGGTCTGGTAACCCTTCCAATGTAAACCAAGCCCACTTCGTTTAGACTGGTTCCCAACCAACTGTGGTCACTGCAGCGATATGTCACCCCCTTATAATCCATCTTTGGAAGATGCTAAAAAAAAATGCAGAAGCCAACGGCAGGCGTAAAGCGTGCATGACACAAAATGAATGGTTGTAATTGGAATCCACTGCAGGCAGGTCAAAGTGCTGTAAGCGAGGGAGCAAGTCCTGGGACTGTGTGGTACCACTTGTAAAAATTTGTTTATTTATGTTTGATAAGTTATGTTACTGATACTTTTGTTGGGTCAGGTTTACTCGAGCCGATTTTACAAAGGGCTTGTTTGTTGGCCCAATTATTTCTTCGGTTGCTTTTATAGGGTCGTTCAAAGTGTATTGCTGAAAACTCTCTGGTGAACTTGAGGTGGAAACAGGTCCTTGTTGTACAAAGTAAGGGAGTGCTAGAAATTTCAGAAGTCTGGGATTTTTTCAGTGGGAATGTTAACTCCTCTAATTGGGAACACGTGGGGCTCCACTCCGGAATTTGAAGACAACTGCAGGTCCATTTGTTTTACAATTGCGTCTACCAAGGTGTTGCGTTGGAAAATGCAGGTCCCAAATCTGGCAGGACGTGGACTTGTGATCAAGTCATTACATTGAAGTGGGTGTAAAATAAGCATGGTGCAGTGAACTGCCCTGCACATGAATATTAGGTTAAAAGACAAGGATTTTGATGCGGTAACAAGAATCATTATTAATTGATTAGTACCTGTTAGTCAGCGCTACATTTCAGTTGCCATAGAAACAGCCAATGACACGACTGGGATATTGCTAATACTGCTTCATAGTTTGGGGATGATCGAATAGAAATTACCTGACATACTTACCAGTTCCTTGCTCCCGATAATGCAAAAGTTTTCCCTAGAATAAGATCAAAAGTCCCATTTTTTAGAAAATTGGCTGTGGTTAAATATTGTAGAAGATATTGTCGTGAAAAAGTAACAACACTCTGGATTCTCTTCCTAGCAACCCGCAGCAAGCTCAGCCTGAGGGACTGCTTGTCCCAAGTTTCACACGAACAAAAAACTTCCCATATAGCTAAACTTCCAGCCATTGGTATTCACATCAGTAATCTTGGCCAACCACATCGCTCCTTTGAGCATTTGAAAAAGAGGGAGTGGGTTATTTACAGAAAGTCATGACATCTTGTTAGTTACAGAAATTCATGACCAATTTTTATTTACAGCAAGTCATTACAACTGTTCATTTGGAAGCCCTGATATCGGGAACAGTGTTTATGCATTAGGCTGCCTCAGTAGCCTCTATAGTAGACCGTATTCGCGGCGTCCCCAACTTCAGTCATATTCCCCAACGTAGTGTATTTATTGGAAAACGCTGTACTCAAAGAACCAGACTATATTCTACGATTTCAATACCCAGCAAGAAATGAGACCGAGGGGTACCCCCCAACATGTCCAATCCCTATACACATTCCAGACTATTGTTACTTAACACATCCCCCAAGATGTCTGAAAAGAATTCCCCAGATTCCTGCCAGACAATGACCAACACAAAGCAGGGGGGGGGTTCTCTCCGTCTCATACCTTGCTGCATATGACGATTTCATTCCAACCCCCCAAATCACCTGGTACCATCCCATTACGTGTTTAAAACTTTTATTGTACGTTCAGGAATACGACTGAAATTGGGACGCCGCGAATGCAGTCTGTTGCAAGTTTCATGATACACATAGATGCTGAGCATTATTTGTTAATTTGTATATAATCTTCATCATTACACCACGCACTTCCTGTGAAACTTTTTTTTTTCTGGGAGCTTTTTCTTTTAAACTAGAAGTGCCGTTTACAAAAGTTTTTCAATGCAAAGACAATGAAACCTCTTCTCGACACTTACAAGTTTGGTAATCAGTGTTATCAATTTTTGTTTAGAGTGCCTTGTTATCCACAGTAATTCAAGATGTCTGCACTGCAATCGTATTCTTATCAATCAAGTATTTTAAAGAATTGATCACATACTCTCAGCTATTTGAAAATGAAGTATTTGTTAAACGGTTTTGAGTACTCATCTTTGAACTATAATCTATCATATACATCACTCTGGAACTAAGTTACTGTCCAAATTGTACACGATTTTGAGCTTTCATTTACTCTTCCGCGAGCCCTGTGGCTTGGCAGCTGACCGCCCACAGTCGCGTAGCTAGTTCATCATCCTGGGCCATCGTGGACGGTTCACTGACCACGCAGTTGCTGAAATACTGGCCCGAAAGGTTAACGATGGACTCGTCCAGGGTGCAGTGGAGAATGGTCTGGGCACCTGCCTCTTCGTCAATTAAGACCAGCCTGTGACGAAATTTAGGGGAGTCGATGAAAAAAAAAGAGTGTATTGGAGTCAAGGAACCATACAAGATGGACTGAGCTACCAAAAAGATGTTTCATCAGGAATGGCATGGTATGGTCCATTTGATAAAATATGTCTGGACGTACAACGGCCACAGTATCTCTTATCTGGGCAAGCTTGCCCATCCTGCTTTTTTCTGAATCACGGTTTTGGAGGATTTTGCTGGTGGGTAGAGCTTACTTTTCTCGGGGCTTCATCCCCCGTTATGATGATTGTCTACCGGATTTTATGCATGCAAAGTCAACGTACCACATCAGCGGGCCTAGGATGTAGTACAGCGGGGTCAGGATCCAGATTCGACTCCACACGTTCCTCCAGATCGGCGTGAAAATGACACCCGGGTGAAGGGAGACGGAAACGACCCCGGTTAAAGCCAGGCGGCGGGCCAGCTCGCGGCTGAAGAGGATGTTAGCCAGCTTGCTGTGATTGTAAGCGTTCAGGCGCGGGTACAGCGCCCCACCGTCCCCGTTCCCACCGGGGATGCCGCCGTCGTTCACAGCCGGGGTCAGGTCTAGCGGACTCCAAACGCTTCGGTGGTAGTTTGACGACACAGTGACCACCCTGCTGGGGGCGCTCTTCCTGAGCAGGTCCAGGAGGAGGTTGGTGAGGAGGAAGTGGCCGAAGTGGTTGACACCGAACAACGCGGGGAAACCGTCTTCCGTTAGAGGCTCACCAGACACAACGGCTATACCTGTTTTCCACATAAAAGTGATTAAATCCATTGTAGCTGACCTATTGTGGCAAGTTAGTTCATACATGTGTAAATTGTATCAGATAAAAATTACAAGGCGCAGAGTGACAAAAACAGCAGCACAGCAGACCTGGGCTTTACCTACCCGCATTGTTGATTAGAATATCCAGTCTGTCTTCGCCTTCGATGATCTCTTTTGCGAATTCCCGGACGGACTGCAGGCTGGCTAGATCCAGGTGGCCCACCACTACCTCCGAGTTGCCCGTGCGCGCCTTGATCTCCTCAGCGGCATCCTGGGCCTTCCGGAGATTGCGACAGGCCAGGATGACCCGGGCGCCTCGCCGAGCCAAGTCCTGGGCGGTCACTTTGCCGATGCCGGAGTTGGCCCCTGAGGTAAACGCGAAATTTGTCAGAGATGAAAGGATGGATTGAGTGCCTGTAGCAAGTTTTCGAAATGAGTTAGCGATGAATAAGCAGACGACGGACCCAAGGTTAGGTGACAGCACACACCGTTGGATGTATAGGCCTACTGTATGTATCATGTACCATTGACAACTTACGATAGGGAGTTGTTCACGCCGTCTGGATCCTGTCATTCGTTATTATGAGCTGAGCCTAACACCGACTGGGAACATCATTCTCTGACAGAGTGACGGATGACGCTCCCGCAGGTAGTATGAGTTTAATGAAAACAGCCACCCCGTCTGGAACTGTTCCTTATTCTTGTTGGGCTACTGAGTCACTTGTGGCTTAACACCCGTATGTTATTAAATATTTGTACGCTAAATAACACAAAGCAATGACGCAACTGGGGTGAATACATGTATATCAGGGGGCGGGGCAACTGGGGCACAAGCATCGGATGGGAGGCACACCCGCCATTAAAGGCAGACTTGTTTGTTCGCGATTGGTTAACATGCTAGTCACCTGCTAAAGTCCTTGAAGCACAAGCCTTGTTTTGTATACCACCCAAACTATTTTCAGAGTGCCTTGTTTTTGACCTTGATTGGCAGGACTGTTTGGCTGAGCAGGTAAAGACCCGTGTAGAGGCTCATGCGATTAGACGATTAGAAATGATGTCCTCAGTGTGTATGGATATGATATCATTTTCAACAGCGAAGACCTGGGAAAAGTACTGTATTGTTCTTCCTTATGTGGCCTTACTTTTTTCCAGGTTTTGAGTAAGGGGGGGGGAGGTTAAAAGGATTTTTTTTTCAAAAAACGACGGTCCAGATTTTTCTTCCCTAAAAGAATCCTAACGACCACCCCCTTCCAAGACAGGTGGTGGTACCGTTTCGTAAAAAAAAAAAAATCCGCGGTCAGCCTCCCCCATACTGCTGAATATACACCGTACCACCGTGACAGCTCTCCCCAACTATGAACTGCGGTGTTAGCCTGACGGGAAGTCGTTGCTAGGTACCGGAGAACCCTCTGTTGTTCATACCCGAACCCCACTGCAGGAGAGAGCAAAGCTTTGGACTGATTGAAACAATAACCAAACGCCTGCAAGTCCCCCTCTTAAAAATTCCACCCCCTCCCCACAAGTTGGACCCTTGATACGCCCCTGCCTGGAGCCACCCGACGCGTTACCCGGCAAACCAGCCACGCAGCCAGCCTGTCGGAGCTTCTTGCCAATCAATTTAGGTGTATAGTCTGTCATAGGACACCCAGTACAAACTTTGAAGTGATACAGCAGGTAACCGCGAAGAGGAGAAACTGTCCTACCTGTCACAATGACCGTTTTCCCCGTCAGATTGACCTCGCTCTTGCATGACCTCCGGCAGGCGATGTTTTTCCAATAGTGCAGGACATACAGAGCCGCCAGGATGGCGAAACATAGCAGAACTAAGTAAGACATCGAAAGCTCCATGCTGAACTTTCCCCCTCGAGCACCGGGCCAAACTAAACTGGTTAGGTTTTAATGCGAGGGATGAAAAAGACCCACATTTTGTGCGTTTACGGGATGGAGCCGTCACGCACTCGTGTGCCCAACCGATGCCGCATGCATCCAACTGCGTTGTCCGCCGGCACTTCAAGGGGAGGTGGCCGTGCGTGTTGCTTTCAAATCACTGATCTAAAATCCAGGAATTTGACACCACAGGGACCATCAAGGGGTGAACTGACGGGAAATCCAAGACGAACTGACCCTCGGGTGGAGAAGAAAATCAAGATATAAATACGAGAGCCATCCAGAGGGATTTGGGGGGTGGGAAATCATTTTCCGCATTCCCTTCTGTCCTGTTACGACTGATATCACAACCTGCATTATCAATCATGTATTTTAGTTGTCGTTTTGGCGACCCGTCAAAAAGGGCAGCAGCTGCGGCTTCCTTTTCGGGGGAAACTGCCAGGATTTCCTGCTAGACTTCCGGGGAATTCACAGTCGGATCATGTGAATCTGCAATCGGAGCACAGACCGGCTTGAGATATTGAAGTTCTGTTAGTATCATTATGTGCTTGCTCTCTTATCCAGGAGGTGGGTGGGTCACCATGTAAAACAATGAGCCATTTTTGAAGGGGGTGTCTGGGACCCATTAGGCTTAATAGTTATAATGAAAGGTGCAATGTTGGGGACGGGATGTTATTTCTCCCCATCCCAAGAGCGTGCAAAAAGCCCCGAAACTTAGCCTCACCTCGGATAAAGCCAATAAAGAAATCCTTCAGTTTGGCCCCTCCAAAAGATTTACCCCATTCACGTGATTTACGCTACTCCCTTGAAGTTGGAGGTGACTCGACCGATCCTAAACGGGGGATGGAGGCAATAATTTCCAATGTACTTATAGTATGGTGACTTGGCGTCTTTAGTGTGAGAAGGACCTTTTCATAGGGCTGATAGGAAATCTCCATCTGGATGTTAGCCAAGATTTTCCCCAACATTTATTGGAAAACAGGTGACAAATGAATCATCTCATCAAGGCCACGTTCGGTTAAAGACATCGACAAGATTCCACGAACGGTCCGTTCGGACGGGCAGGGGTGTCTACTTCGTGAGCGGTCAACGAAATTGTGTCGACTTTCTGGCAGTAAAGCTGACACGCTCCCCTTCGTTCTCTTGAATTTTTTCATCACGAACTAACTTGACGTGACATGATAATACAATGAAAATAGACCCTGAATTCTGTAAAGTCACTTTATAAACTTAATGAACTGAATTCGAATTGCTGTGCACTGTACGAAGGAACTGAAGAACATTCATGGCAAGCAGAGATTTGGAAGGAAACTAAATTCGGGTTTTTGTTTTTATTACAACACACCAAACTCATTGTGTACCATATGCAAGATTTTTTCATCTGACAAAAAATGTGAGCGTCTGTTTATGACTATCCATTTTCTTTTGCCATTTCATATTTCTGAGAAGGCACGCACTGCTACTTGCGACATGACCTCCCGTCTTCATAATCCGGCGGCAGAATATGCACCAATAAACAGTGCAATATCTAAAGAACAAATCTCTGGAATGATGCTTTACATGACTAAAACTGAACGGGAAATCTCAGGTAGGTAAAGCTGGGTTCTTATTTTGCAAATATCCAATGGGAACCCCCAAACACTACCAATAAACTGTGTTGAGAAATATTCCAACCTTACTCGAGTCACGGGGGACCTCTATCTCAGTTATTCAGTCGTCTCCTGTAGCTTAATCTTGAACTGCATTTTCAACTGGCGGAGACCGCGACGTGTGGGGTTGTAGAGAGGTAAATTGAACCTCGTGCTCGACGACGATGATGCACTCACTCAACAAAAATCAGGAAGATACAAATATCCAAGGTGTCTACGACCAAAATTGAGTTACGGTCTATTTCCTGGTTTTCATTTTCTGTTCATTTTCAGAGATAATTCGATGGCTTCTTGGGCAAGTTACCCCCAAAATGGTCAACCCTTAATCGTGCAGACAATCGTCATTTTGAAAAGCAATGCATGTCCTGATTGTACATAATTGCACTTTTTACGGTCTGATTTTATAAGTTTTGTACCGATACAAGCTGGTAGTCCTTCTGATGGCTTTCACATTTCCTTGTTAAAAAGTCATGGTTCATGGACCACAAAACGTTCGAACAACAGGGAATTTGAGAGCTTACAAATTATGATTCGGGAAACCAGCAGAGGTATTTTTTTTAGCCTGTTTTACACTTGTCTGCGATCCTAGCTCTGGATATTTCAGATTCGGCCGTAACCTTTAATCAGTTTGACCTTTCTTCGATCCCTGTGGCCTGACAGCTTATGTCCCAGAGTCGCTGCGCTTGCTCGTCGTCCCGGGCCAGCTCACTCGTCTGGGCGACGGCGCAGTTGGCGAAAAATCGGCCGGGCAGCTTAGCCACCGTCTCGTCCAGGGCGCAGTGGAGAGTGGTCTGGGCACCCGCCTCCTCGTCTATCATGAGAAACCTGGGAGTCCAACAAACAAAAAACAGTCTGTGTAACTAAGTGAAAAACTACCCCCGAGAATCAATAAGCTGGCCAATGGCATCGAAAACAATACGACTACGACTTTCACAGTTGCGGTTACAAGTTTTCAAACACTTTGACTGTAACAACCACTCCTTTTCCATATCATGATCAATCTGAACATTTGCGCTGTTTTCATAATTGTTACGATTATGTACATGTACATGTAGATGTGCTTGCTGACCCCTAACCGACAAGGAATAGTTTCAAAGCATTGGTGGGGTCTTAGCAATTCCAATCAAACATGTTCAGTCCAAGTGAAGTACAAATGTTTGGAACATGCTGGTTATCCTGCCACTTTCAATCAGTTGATTTTTACAGTAAGTTGGTATACTTTAAGTTAATCGAGGATATTCCATGTGCGTTGATTTACATGTACATGTATGTCAATGTAACTAGTGTGCATCATTTAAAACTCGCCTTCGTCTAATAGATACTTTAGACAAGCAAATATACTGATAAAATAGTCGCATAAATGCGTTGCAATGAAAGTTCCCCCAACCCTCGCTCCGCCCCTGACCCTTAATACACGAAGCAAAACAATTTGTGGCGGGAATATTTTTTTTTAATTTACCGAATCTACCCACCACATAATCGGCCACATCGTGTAATACAGCACTGCCATGGACAGGTTGCATTTGAAGTATTGCCAGATTGGGGTGTTGACAAACCCTGGGTGTACAGTGACCGAGGTGACGCCAGTGGATTCTAGACGCCTGGCCAGCTCCCGACTGAAGAGGATACCGGCCAGCTTGCTCTGCCCGTAGGTGCGCAGGTGCGGATACAGGACACGGGCTCTGTCTTGGCTTGCCCCGGGCCGTCGCCCAACGTCCACGGTCGTGTCTCCCGCTTTGTAGGACAGGTCCTCACGGGTCAAGTCCAGGGGAACAGTCTCCCAGCTGTGCGCGATAGAGGCCACAGTGATCACCCTGCTGGGGGCGCTCTTCTTCAGCAGGTCCAGGAGGAGGTTGGTGAGGAGAAAGTGGCCAAAGTAGTTGATGCCGAAGACGAGGTGGAAATTGTCCTTGGTAAAAAGGTTCTCGTTACCGACATCAGGAACTCCTGCATGCCAAATGGGGGGGGGGAATCCAATGAAAAAAGGTGTATCATATGCTTCCTGGATAAAGTGGAAATAAGTTAATCCAATGGTCAAAAAAATCGAAAGTAACACGTTTGATGATCTTATCCCTCAGTTATGCCCTGTTATCACTGAATTGAGGGGCCGCCCCAATTATGCACGCACGGAGGGGGTTGGGGCTTGTTGTTAACTGTACATCACAGGTACCGCAAGTCGAAGCCGACACGTACTCTGTAGAGCAAAAATTTAAATTGCTTTGAATGAAATATCAGGAATCCCATGGCCATGTACTCTCATGTTTTGACATCGACACATCACTGGTTCGCCATACTAGAATAGGGTAGTGTTAAAAGTGAAAAAGAAGCCCTGTGTTGAATTTGTACGCGTCTAAGTCATGGAGCAGTCATCCTAGAGCAGCGTCAAACATAGCGGAAAAGGTCTAAAATGTCAGTATAAACGCGCACGTATGGTGTACTATTTACGACAAACATTTCTCTCTCTTTAGCCTCCTTCCAGGCGACGCAACCAGACGACGCGACGGCACGACGGCTCCCTTGAGTCGTGCCGTCAGGTCGAACCGTCGCCTTCTTGCCATTTCGTTTGTACACACACGATGCGTCGCGTTGTGCGTCGTGTCGTGCCGTCGCCCGTCGCATCCTGCTGTCTTAGGTCCTTTCCTTGTTGCATTTTTCTCTGCCTAAATTAACGTCGCCCCTCCCGTCGGCCCGTCGCGTCGTGCGTCGCGTCGTACGTCGTGTCGTGCATCGCGTCGCCTGAAGCACGACGCGACGCAAGACACAACGCACGACGCGACGCGTCGTGTGCTGTAGCCCTTTACTTCATGATGTTTATAGAGGGCGCCTTTACTGTTTTCTTTCGTTTCCTTCCCCCGGCCCGTGCTTGCACAGTATATGCCATAGGTACCAGGCCATGATTCTGTTGTCCTTTTTCGTGGATTCTTTCTTTGTGTTTTCATTAAGATTGGGTTGTTGAAGAAAACTCTTTTCCTTTTTTTAAAAATCAAATGTAATCAGAAATAGCTTCGCGACTAATCAGCATTGTCTTCAGGAAATATATAGCATTAACGTCAGCCACAACAATGTTTTAGCTTTTCCTGATCTAATTGTGATTTTTCTACGAATTATTGTGAATCCATTCTAAGATACAATACATCAATCATTATTACGTGCTTGCAAAAAATGTAACATGCGGATCTGATGAGAAATTAAGCGCGAGGCCAAACAGCGAGGAAGAAAAGACACCGTCACAACGGTAGAAGGAATGAGTGCTTTATTAAGAAACACGTCGGCGGATTAATATCATTGAAAGTGTGATGCTGATGAAGTTAACGAGGAAAAGTAAACTGAAGGAAGACTGAATATTCTGAGGGTAATAATATAGAGCAGGCTGGACGGTAACTACCTAAACCCGTGCTCAAACTTGCGGTGGTATAATTGTAGACAAGTTGTCTGGAGGAGGGGGAGAACTACTTGGAAACTTAGGGCACGGACCACAGAGAAATATTTATAAGGTGACAAATCTACCACAAATGGGAACTTCATCAACGGTCTTAAAAAAATTGGACGGACATTCGAACAAGGATCAGCCTGGTACATTAAAAAGTGACGGATATTCTGGCCTTACACTTATTATATGAGGGCACCTACATACGCAGATTTTCTTTTTGCACTTTTTTTTTCGATAAAATATGACAAAAACTGATTCTATTTTAGGAATGGATAAAACAACCCCCCCAAAAAAATCAACGCCTGCGGCTCAGGGCATATATTTTGCAAGCGCGATGGACGGAAATGAGAGAAAACAAAAGAAATCATCGGCTTGGAAATTAGGGAGTGATGAATTCTAAGCTTGCGGTTTCCATTTATTTTGAGAGAGCAGTTCCTACATATTCGGATTTTCTTTTGCTCTTTTATCATTTTTCAATAAAATATGACAGAAATTAATCTCAATTAATGAATCGATGAGATAAAAACAATGAAAAATCAACACCAAAGAGCGAATAGCATGTACTTTGAAAGAAAGGTGGACGGAAATGAAAGAAAACAGTAAAGGCGCCCTCTATAAACACCTTGAAGTAAACAGCACACGTTGTTGTGCGTCGCGTCGTGCTTCAGGCGGAGTTCCTTCACGACGTGGTGTGTATGTTTCGCCACCAACGCACTTTAGACTTTAATTCTTATCATCTCTCGTTTAGTTTTTCTAAATTATTTTGGGTCACATAGCTTGTTACAATTTTAACGCGTGCTTCTAATTGGACCTGCTCGGACTTGACCGTGCAAATGAAAAAGAGCGTGCGGTTCAACTCTTCGTATCTGATAGATATCTTTATTTTCTTCTGAACAAAGTTTGGTCTTTTTACGTTAACTCTCCCTAACACAATTTCAATGCGCGCTTCAGATTCGAACCGTTGACCCTTCCCACTTGACCTACACCGTGGATATTTTCCAGTTTACCGTCTCCGTGTAATTATAGAAACCATCCTATTCAATTCTCATCTATTTCGTATTTATAGTGAATTATTTTAGTCTTTTCTGTCCTTCCGTCTTACAATTTCAATGGTCGCTGCAGATTCGAACATTGACCCTTCCCACTTGACCGTTGCCGTGTAGATAACACAGATTGCGATGCCTTCTTCGTATCTATCTTTATTTATTCAGGATTCTTTTGGTTTTGTTTTTCGTTTTGTTCTTTCGTTACTTAATTTCTATGCGTGTATACAATCTAATACCACGCAGAGCGACAAAAAAACAAAAAACAACCCCCCCAAACCCCCCCCCCCCAAAAAAAAACCAAAAACAAAAACAAAAAACCAATTCAGTATTTCACTGACTCACCATGGAGTTTCGCCGTAGCTTTGAGCAAGGGATTTTTCTCCTCAGTCTTTGTAATGAAGATGAATGGTTGCACTACACCGAATACGCGCGCCCATAGAAAACTGTGCAAAATCAGACTGAAATAGCGCCGCGTTTTTCTCTGGAAATTCAAGACTATGGCCAGAAGACCGTTTCAACTTTATGGGGGTTAGCCACGTGAATTTTTTTTTTTAGAGAGGGAGAGAGAGAGAGAGAGAGAGAGAGAGAGAG